ATATAATGTTCACTATAGATTATACATACAAACATATATTTATATACATATGTGTTATGTTTATCAATATAGATAGAAATATAGATAAAATATAGATCCCTTTATTATATTCAGTTATTTCCCATCTAACTCAGTTTCTTCAAGATGTTTACTATTAAGGAATGTCACAATCTTTCTGAATCTTTTGGGATACTCATGAAATTTCTGTTCTTCGGTCAATTTGGGTGAAATATTGTAATTATTGATATTTGGATATTGAAACATACCAACTAGATCACATTGAATACTCTTTTTGATGCATTCTTTTTAAATTATTTCTTGAATTTTTTCTTTTTACTATGAAATATTGCATACAATATATTTAATCATGATTTCCCTTTTCCAGTCCCTCTCAGGATTTCCATATATATTCTCCCCATCTCCATATAAACCCACCAACTTTAAGTTATCCCTTTCAAGAACAAAAGAACCCACAAACACTAAATACAAAACAACAATAAACAATCAGGAGAAAGTATGCCAAAACAAAAACAAAAACAAAGCAAAACCTCCACACACAAAGCCAAACAACTTGAAGTTCATTTTGTGTTGGCTGCTACTCCTCCTGGGCTTGGGGATGGTACTGGGGTGTGGTTGATATGCTCGCTGACACTTCATTTCAGAAAATTGTTTTCCCTTTCCCAGAAGGTATTAATTGCAAATAACTTCTTGGTTAGGGATGGGAGCTTATGTTCAGTTCTCCCACTCAGTGCGAGGACCCCATCAGTATTGAACCTATGCAGGCCTTGTGCATGCTGCCACAGTTTCTGTGGGTTTATTGGCACTTCTGTCCTGTTTTGGGGGAGTCATCCATCACTCCTAGCTCTTAGAACTTTTCTGAATCATTTTCCACACAGATCCCCAATCCCTGAGGGAAGGGGTTTGAGAGAGATTACTGATTTTGGACTGAGTCCTCCAAAGTCTCTTACTTTCTCCACACTTGTGAGTCGCTGTTAATTTTCATCTACTGCAAGAAGAAACTTCTCTGATGAGGATTAAGTAAGACATGAGCTTATGGATACAGCAGTATGCCACAAGGACTCATTGTATTGCTACGTTCCTTTATCAGAATAACAGAAGTAGATTTTCTTTTAGGCTCATGATCTAGCTAAGGTCAGGTTCTTGAACACTTTATCAGTGTCTGTGTGGGTTCCACCTCATGAAGTGAGCTTTAAATCTAACTTTGAAAAGCATTTGGAATGGACCCACTGCCATGGGCCCATAAACAGACTTAGCTACACAACTGTTGACCTCATGGAGAGGGCCTAGTTCAGTCCTATGCAGGCTCCCCAGCTGTCTGTCTAGAATCAATGAGCTCCCATGAGCTCCAGTCAGTGTCTCTGTGGGTTTCCCCATCATGCTATTGACCCCATCCCTTGCTCATATAATCCCTCCTCCTTCTCTTTGACCAGACCCTGGAGCTCAGCCTGGTGTTTGGCAGTGGATCTCTGCATCTGAGTCTATATGATGGGATGGATGCCTTGCTCAGCCTCCATGAAAGGGGAAAGGGGGATGGTCTTGGTCCTGCCTCAACTGAAAGTGCCAGGCTTTATTCATTTTCCATGGGAGGCCTTATCCTTTTTGAGGAGTGGAAGGGGAATGGGTTGGGTGGAGGTAAAGAGAGGAGTTAAGGAGGGGAAGGAAGGGGAATTGTGGTTGGCATATAAAATGAATAAAAAATTTTAAAGTGTTTGGTTACTTCCATGACATTACTATCATGATTACACAAGTATATCTTGCAGGTAAATTACTGAGGTATGTTCCAGGGTTTGTAGCTAGGTGTTATTGATAATTATTTTTCTCCTTTAGTGTACAGAGTAACTTCCAGTGCAAGGAACATTAGTCAATAGGAGCGAAGCGTCTACCTGGACACCAGTTCAACTTCTCCTTGTTCGATGACTTAAGTATTGCTTTCAGATATTGGGTCTTCCCATCATGTTATGGAAAGCAATCAATAGTCTTGGCAATAGCATTTGAGCTTGTTTGGCAAATGACTCAGGATGATGTAATCTACTACAGATTATACTTGGTGGCCTAAGATATCTACTTGGGGCATTGTCACCTTAGCTTATTTTGATAGATCTTTCCAAAAAAAACAAAATTTTTGCTTCACTAAATTTTTGTACTTTTATTTCTATTCTTTTATTTCTCCCCTGAATATTTATTTTCAACTTGTAATTTAGGGTTTGGTTTGTTCTTGGGCATACAAAACCCTTAGTGATACGTTATTTGATATCCCTCTGATATGTTAACATAGGTACTTGAACCTATATACAATCCTCTTATGTCTGGTTTTATTGTATCCTATAGGTTTTTACATGCTATGTTTTATTTTCATTAATTTCTAGGAATTCCTTGATTTCTACAATGACTCTTTTATTATTCAATGTTTTATTTTTTACTCTCCCAGAGGTTGTGCATTTTTGATAGTTTCATGGGCTATTGATTTTTTATTTTACTTCATTATGATCAGATAAAATGCAAAGAAATATTTGTTTACATATATTTTTAAGACTTCCATTTTGTACTAACATTTATTTTAGAGAAAGCACCATGTATACTTAGAAGTTGCTTATCCTGTGCTCTTTAACTGGATTATTATGTGGCTATCTGTTAAGTCCATTTGGTCTATGATGTAATTTAATAGACACTTATTTGCTTGCCTTTCACCTGATTGATGAAAATAAGTGAGGCCTTATTGGCAGCATGAGCAAAAGTATAAAAGGGTATAAAAATTATGTGACTCATTGTGAAAATGCAGATGTGGTAAAGAAAGGAGATTAATTCATTTGGAAAAGTTATTGAAGCGTTAACAGAAAATCGGATTACTCATGCTGAGGAGTCAGTAGATAACAAACCGGTTGAAATAGTGGAGGGGTGAGGTAGAATCTTAGCCAGTTGCCAGGTTCTGTAGATTGAAATGCTCTTGTTACTAGGCAGTTCAATCTAGAACTCAATAATATGAGAAACAAAGGAAGGTGGGGACTAATATTCTCCTTGTCATTTAAAGTCTCAAGAAAAAAAAAAAAATCTATGCTGCAAATGGGACATGAAGGGAGCCATCAGTAGAAAAGATAATGGACATTGTCACTTCACATAGTAAGTCTTTCAAGAATTTAGCACTAGAGAATAGAAGCACAAATAATTAGACTGTGAGTCCACAGATACAAACACACACCATGATTCTTACTATTCTGCTCTACTCATTTAATTGGGCATTGTAAACATTTTGAATGTATGTTTTTACTTTTGCTTTGAATAACACTAAATGAGACACAATATCAAAAAATGCTAGATAATAATTATGGTACAAATGTTGATAAATTTGATGAATCTGTGGAAAGAAAATAATGAACAAAAGATTTGAAAGTCAAATTTAAGGTGTCTGTACTATATGGCACCAAGTATCTTTATGAATGAAGATGTTACAGTCACTCAGGAGCTATGGCATGTTGAGAAAGTGTAAAAAAATTGTAGACAGTACAAACACAATCCAGATTATATTCTTTTGAATTTGTTTTCCTTTAAGAAGATTGCCTGACAACATATTGAAAACAAATGATGATGAATTTATATGGGTTGTTTCCCAAGAATACAACATCAATAATAAATAAGTCTTTACCATCAATACCAAAACTAATATTCAGAATTCCCAAATGTATTTCAAGGAACATATGGAAAGTAATACAGTGCTGTATGTCTGTAATCCTAGCACATATTTGAGAGCCATTGGCTAAAGGATCATGGTATCAAAGTCAGACAAAATTATATATATATATATGTATATATATATATATATACATATATATATATATGTATATTGAAAAGATGTCTTTAAAAAATGATGACAAACTCCAAATACATGAAAAACAAATGAGGGTATCAGAATATTACTCATATTTTTAAAATTTTGTCCCCAATAGATTATCTCTTCTTTTCTGCTATAGTGTCTAAACATTTTGTGCAATACCCTTGTGTGTGTGTGTGTGTGTGTGTGTTCACTTATGATTGTGTATGTGAAAGCATATAGAAGCACATGCATGTGTAGGCCAAAGAAGATAAAGGCTGTTTTGTCTTCTTCATCTCTCTGTACCCTATTTTGTAGACAGTATTTCACACTTTCAAAAGAGCTTTGTTAGACTGGGTGGCCTGAGAGACAGGGTGGCCTGTTTCTGTTTAATTCTCTTTAGCACCATATAATGGTATTGTGTTTATGGAGTCACACCATCAGCCCTGTGCTGTAGCATGATTTTTGATGATCTACACAGACCTCATGCTAACCAATAACTTACCAATAACTTCTCCACCAAGACTGAGGAACTCTGGTCATGGGCTATTAAATAGTCATACATTGACAATTTTCAAGTCCACAAACTTGATACATTTTTACTGTGTGGAGATATTGTGTGTGTGTGTGTGTGTGTGTGTGTAGTGAACCAATAATAAAGGAATATGAGGAACATTTACAAATCCATCCTAAATAATGTTACACAACAATTTATTGTTGGAAATTGAAAGAATACCTTTGTGTTTATTCCAAGTTGAAATATAGACATCAATACTGCCTTGTTTATTAAATATGATATATAGTCACTGTCTATTGACACCATCTGCTTTAAATATTTATTGTATGTATGTGAGCTCCTATATTTAAGAAACAACATGTTAAACCCATTAGTTCTTTATATAGATTCAGAGTAACAACATTGGTAAATTACAATTCGTATACCTATAAATTGTACTTCAACGAAATTAAACAGCAAATCAAATGCACTACGTGGAGTTGTGCCTTAGACCAATACCTAAGCCATTTAATCTCATACCTACCTCTTTCTCTTCTACCTTGCCCTGTCCATAGCTAAGCTACTCCTATGTCTGTCTTCTTTTTCCTATTACATTTAGTCTTGCTACTCTAATGCATCAACTCAGCCAGAAGATACTCCATTAAGGGTCAGCACTGCATGCAAATAAGACAAAGGGCATCCTCCTTGGATGTCTGGCTATGGGTGAGGCTGAGGTACACACCAGGATAAGTCATCTGCACCTGTGGCTGGAGATGGTGATCATTCTTTCAACATGGCCCTTGACTGGGCATGCTCAAAACACCAGCCTCCCAGAAGTAGTGATACCCTTACAGGTCACAAGCAACAGAACAATGAGGGCTATGGGATGGCTGACCTATAGCTTATACTTCGGGGGCCAGAGACATGTTCTCTACATGAAAGCCAAGAAGTTTTTCATGTCTAGACACCTCTCTGTATTCACCTACACTGACCAAGGTGCTCTACAGAAGGACCAGCCTTTTGTCCAGAAGGATTGCTACTACCATGGCTATATGGATGGAGACCCAGATTCCGTGGTTGCTCTTACCACTTGCTTTGGAGGCATTCAAGGAACATTACAGATAAATGGCACAGTATATGAAATCAAGCCCAAGAATCTTTCTTCCACTTTCGAACATTTGGTTCACAAGATAGACAGTGAGGAAACACAATTACTCCCTATGAGATGTGCATTAACAGAAGAGGAGATAGCCCGCCAAAGGAAGCTTCAAAGGAATGATAACACCACACTTATGCAAAGCAGCTATGAGGGCTGGTGGACCCACAAGCGTTTTCTTAACCTGGCATTGGTTGTAGACCATGAGCGAATTCGTTATCTGAACAGCAATTTGTCACATGTGTTACTGGAAACATTGATCATTGTGCATGTAATAAATGAGATTTTTCTTACTCTGGATGTTGAGGTGGTTCTGTTTGGAGTTGAGATGTGGAATACAGGAAACCAAGTGAAAGTGACTACCATAGATCACCTCCTGAGGGATTTTTGCTATTGGAAATGGACCAGTCTTAATTATCGTATTCAAAATGATATTGCACATCTTTTTGTGAGACATGATTTTGGCACAAAAAATAGCTTAGCTTATGTTGGATCTGTTTGTGTGCCATTTCTTAATTGCGGAGTTGATCGTCTTGAAGGCTCTGAACTTCATCATTTTGGACAACTTACGGCACATGGGATTGGTCATAATTTGGGTATGAAGCATGATGAGCACACATGTAAGTGTGGACATTATACATGTATAATGGCTCAAGGACCCATTGGTGTCAACAAATTCAGTAACTGCAGTTATGCTGCATTTTGGACAATCTATGTGACTGCCAGCTGTCTGCACAAGGAAAAGAAGCCAGTTGGCAAATACAGATTAATGTTCTGTGGGAATGGTGTGATTGACGATAGAGAGCAGTGCGATTGTGGATCTTCAAAAATGTGTGCAAAAGATCCATGTTGTAGGAGAGATTGCACCCTTAAAGATGGAGCTGCCTGTGCTTTTGGGCTTTGCTGCAAAGATTGCCAGATCATGCCATCAGGCACAGTGTGCAGAGAACCTGACAATGAATGTGACCTTCCAGAATGGTGTGATGGACATTCACATGAGTGCCCTAATGATGTTTATTTGCTTCATGGGAGCTCCTGTAAAGATGGTGGTTATTGCTATGAAAAGAGATGTAATAAGCGAGATGAACAGTGCCAACAGATCTTTGGCAAAGAAGCCAGGAGTGCAGTTCACAGATGCTACAGGGAAATCAACACCCAAGGAGACCGTTTTGGCAACTGTGGTATATTCAGCAGTACATACCTAAGATGTAACGACTCAGACATCCTCTGTGGGAGAGTTCAGTGTGAGAATGTAAAATCTATTCCTACTTTGGAAGGACATTCCACTGTTCACTGGACTCACTTCAATGGTGTCACCTGTTGGGGAACTGACTACCATTTGGGGATGACAATACCTGACATTGGCCGTGTGAAAGATGGCACAGACTGTGGTCCAGAGCATGTGTGCATTGATAGGAAGTGTGTCAATAAGTCAATTTGGGTAAGTGATTGTTCACCAGAGACATGCAACATGAAAGGGGTCTGCAACAATTTACACCACTGCCACTGCAACCCTGGGTGGCGTCCACCACAGTGCCTTACAAAGGGCAGTGGAGGTAGTGTTGACAGTGGCACTCCACCTCCAAAAGAAGGGAAAGTCAAGAAGAGTAATGATTCAACTAATCATTATGTAATGATTATTCTGATTCTTTGTGCTATTTTCCCATGCTTTGTGTTCATTTGTTTTCGGAATAATTATGTAATATCTCCTAGGATAGAGGAACCTGGTGTTCACACTTCAGAAGTGAAAGGGCAGTCCTTTGATGTCAGCTCTGCTAGAAAAATCTCATAATTTCAGGAAGAACACCAAATCTTCAAAACTTTCTCCTGTCTTATCATGTATTACCTTGACCCTTGGAGCATCATTTGTTTAGGAACTCTCTGGAACAAAAGCATAGAGATATTTATTATTTCCGTACCAAAACACACAGCATTCAATAAAAGTACAGTCTTATTACTTAACTGGTGTTTCTTCCCTTCATGCTGTCTTTGTGTTCTCAGTGAAGCCCCCCCCAGGGGGGGTCCTGCATGTGTGTGTTTGCTTTTGCCTCTCTCAGTTCCGGACCACTTCCCCTTTTTATGCTGCTTGTCACATAGAGAACAGGATTCTTTGGATCCTGTTTGCTCTGTGGTAGTCCTTCTGGGTGGAATCTTCCCACGGGGGAGTCACGGGAGATTGGAAACCCGTGGGAACTGTAAGTGAAGTTCCTGTCCATGTTTCCTCAGTGGTAGTGTTTTCACATGTGTGTGGCATCAGAATCTTTCCTTTGGTCCTTGAATCCAGGATGTGGCCTACATCATGTGTGTATCCATAGAAAGTGTTGTCCTTTGTCACACTGGAGAAGCAGTTATTCATTTAAAAAATGTTCTGCAATAGTAGATATCACTGCCTTTGTAACTACTGGCTGAGCCCATTCAATTTTCTCAGGAGTGTCTGTAATGTGGTGTTGATAGTGGCTCATAGAATGGACAGTGGTTGGTACTAGCTGTCTGAAACAACAGCATTTTCGTTCCCAGAGATAAAAACCAACTGCTGAGCAACCTGCCTCCAGCAAGCTGAGTTCTGTGTCTTTGAACCTTTCTGAATCACAAAGTGTCCAAAGCTGTAGGAGATAAAGGGTAGGAGGCTGAGAGATGAGCCAACCTGGAGTCTGCCTGAGGACCTAGCAACAGGTGATGTCAGAGGTCCTGATCATGTCTAGCCAATAAGGAACAACCATGAAATGTCAATGGCTCTGGATGTAGCCTGAGTACTGGGAGGAGGGTAAATATGACTCTTCCCATTACTGAATAAATGAGTCTGTTTTTTGCCTTTTACCTACTCCTCCTGTTTGTTCCATTGATATTGAACCTTCTCACCCTCTCTTCTGAGGAAGCTGTTAGGACCCTGGAACACAAAATCGAATTGCCAAAACCCTCTTCAGAGACTAAGGTCCCACAACCAGGGAACTCACTCCCAACCTCTGGGCTGAATATCGTAGGCTTTTCACGATCATCTCCAGTCCAGAAGTGGTGACTACAACATTTAGTTTACAGTTGGGGGTATCTCAGGAGCATAGTATTTTATGTCTGAATACTGAGTGACATAGAACATTCCATGGTACAAAAGAGGGCACAGTAAGTAGTCACACACAACAAGATTTTTTAATCTTCACATGTTCATATTACTACGTCTGCATTTTCCCTTGTAAGTAGAATTTCTTAAGGTCACTAAACAGAAGACACTATGAACAGCAACTGGACTTCTTACACTTTTGTTTGTAGTATAGGATGAAGGACTATAAAGTCACTCCATCAGAAGAGCACCTGCCTCACAATAATGAGAACCTGAATTCTCTAAAATTCATGGTAAAAGGCCAGATGTGGTTATACTGGTGGCTGTAATCATGGTTCTGGGCAGGAAGAGACAGGCAGAAACCTGGGGTCACTCTATAGCCATTCAATCCTAATGGGTGAACTCTGGGTTAAGAGTCCTTGTCTTGTAGGAGGTGCACTGAATTTCTGATGATGCCACTAAAGGTTGTTTTCCTCTCCACATGAACATGATCACATATGTTCATATGTACTACCACCCAATTTCATAGGGTCACACACAAACATGCATATGAACATATATACATACAGATACATGCATTTAAAAATAGGTTCCAGAAGATTCTAACACTTAAAATTCTGTATAGAACACACACACACACACACACACACACACACACACACATATATATATATATATATATATATATATATATATATAGAGAGAGAGAGAGAGAGAGAGAGAGAGAGATTGAGAGAGTCTGTCATCTTTCCTGTGGAAATAATACCAGTAATCCTAATTAAGTTTTTAAAAATCATATACAAAAAATCCAGATCTCCATTGTGTACATGTGCCACATCTTCATTATCCATTCTTCAATTGAGGGGCATCTAGGTTGCTTCCAGGTTCTTGCTATTACAGATAGTGCTGCTATGAACATAGTTGAACAGATGTCTTTGTTGCATGGATGTGGATCATTTGGATATATGCCTAAGAGGGGGATTGCCAGGTCCTGTGGTAAACTAATTCCCATTTTCCTGAGGAACCGCCAGACTCATCTCCAAAATGGCTGTATGAGTTTGCACTCACCAGCAATGGAGGAGTGTTCCACTTTCTCCACATCCTCTCCAACATGAGTGTCATTGGTGTTTCTAATTTTAGCCATTCTGGCAGGAGTAAGATGGTATCTCAAAGTTGTTTTGATTTGCATTTCCCTGATAGTTAAGGATGTGGAGCACTTTCTTAAGTGTCTTTCAGCCTTTTTGATTTCCTCCATTGAGAATTCTTTCTTCAGTTCTGTACCCCATTTTTTAATAGGGTTATTTGGTGTTTTGTTGACTAGTTTCTTGAGTTCTTTGTATATTTTGGAGATCAGCCCTTTGTCGGATATAGGATTGGTGAAAATCTTTCCCAGTCTGTGGGCTGCCATTTGGTCTTGTCCACTGTGTCCTTCACTTTACAGAAGCTTCTAAGTTTGAAGAGGTCCCATCTATTAATTGTTTCTCTCAGTGTCTGTGCCCCTGCAGTTATGTTCAGGAAGCAGTCTCCTATACAAACTTGTTCAAGGGTATCTCCTACTTTCTCTTCTAAGAGGTTCAATGTGGCTGGATTGATGTTGAGGTCTTTGATCCATTTGGACTTGAGTTTTGTGCATGGCGACAGACATGGGTCTATCTGCAGTCTCCTACACACCCTCATCCAATTGTGTCAGCACCATTTGTTGAAGATACTGTCCTCGCCCCACTGTATTTTTTTTTTAGCTGTTTTGTCGAAAATCAGGTGTGTGGCTTAATATCAGGATTATCAGGATTTTCAGTTCGATTCTATTGGTCTACCTGTCTACTCTACAGAAAAAAAAATAATGGTATCTTGAAATTCGCAGGCAAGTGGATGGCACTTGGAGAAACCATCCTGAATGAGGTAACCCAGTCACAAAAAGAGGAACATGGTATGTACTCACACATATATGGGTTTTAGACCTAGAGCAAAGGATCACCAGCCTATACCTGTTGGAAACAGAAACAAACACCCATACATAAACACTGAGTCGAACTAGAACCCAGATGCAGATGGAGAGGACAAGACCAGGCGGCAGAAACACATACAGACAGCTTACCTGAACAAGGAGGAGCTAATGGCCCCCAGACTAATAGCTGGGAAGCCAGCATGGGATTGACTCAGGCCCCCCTGAACATGGGTCTCAGCCAGAAGGACTGAACAGTCTAACGGACCTCAGACAGTGGAGCCCTGGTGCACAAAAGGACTTTGCGAACACATCCCCCATGGAGGGATAACTGCCTTAATCTAGAGACAGGAGAGAAGCCCTAGTCCCTACTTCACATGACCTGTCAGATCTGTATGACCCCAACTGGATGGCATTGCCCTACATATGGAATTGGGGGTGGGTGGGAGGGGAGGGTGCATGTGAGAGGGCAGAGAGGGTAAAAGTGAGGGAAGGGAGGGAGGGAAAGTGGGAGGGAGGGAGGGAAAGTGGGAGGGAGGGAGAGGGAACTGGGATCAACATGTAAAATAATAAATTAAATTAAAAAAAAATAAAATCCAGATCTCTGTGGGGGTGAGAACCACTAGGAATGTCAAACAATGAGAAGAGTGTGAAATGAGCAGAGCAAACACAGCCTGCCTCTGCTGGGCACTGCCTGCTTGGTGACCCCATGTGAGTTGAGGGTGGCATTTAGCATTGTCCATGTAAGGATCTCATCTGAGAGAAAGGGAAAGCCCAGGTCTCTTGCTATGGTACAGCAACAAACTCATGAACAGGGTATTATTAGTTGTCATGGTCACTATCTTTAGCATCATGTACCACCATCCCCAAGTAATATTTGATGAATTGAAACACTTTATGGGCCTTCTGTGTAAAGCAGAGACTTCTAAATATTTTTAAATTTCTAAATGCTCTAGTTTTATGATTACATTGCAGATGAACACAGGACATGTAGAGGCTTCTCTCAAGAACTCACAGTGTCTCCTTTAGGACACTTCATTGATTTTGAATTTGACAAGAAAGTATGGAGTAGAACAATCCTCTGTAGACTGTAGTAGACTGTAGACATTAGTCCTCACAACCCTTCAAAGGTGATGGAATGTAGTCATCTACAAACCCAATGACACTCTGCAGGCCCAAATATGAACAGTATATCAGAAGAATGAAGGAAAGCTGGCCCAAGATGGACTGAAGATCACCTGTGACCTTGGACATCCTTGACTGAATTGGGGACTCAGCTCTTTGGTTTATTTTTCTAACCGAGGAAATAGAGTAATATTCTGGAGTATCTATGTGGATACTAATTCACTATATCCAATTACCTTGACACAATTAATTTTTCTATCCCTATTATGGCTTGGGTATCCCCAGAAAATTCATTTAGTTTTCTTTTTCAGTGTACTAATAATGGATGGAAACTAGAAAGGAATTAAGGAACATGTTGCCTTTTATAGACTAAGGTTCCTATCCAAGTACTAACCAAGCCAAATGTTTCTCATTGTGAGATCAAGAGACATCTACACTATTCAAAATTCTTCTAATAAACTAAATCAAGTTGATTAGCACATGGTTTGAGGGTACTATTACTGGGGAGACTTGAACAGAATTATACCTAATCAAGAGAAGGGTCTGGCCACCAACCTACATAAGGAAAACATCAAAGTGCCTATATGGACAAGTATTATAAATAGGAGGAGAAGCCATTCCTGTGATACAATAGCAAAGATATTTGCTGCACTGTATTCATGTATTAATA